ACGCCAAATTACTTCAGTGCGGAGTTATTACTTCTTCCGATGAAGGACGTGTACCTGGTCTGAAAGTACGTTTCATATCGGAAATGGAAAACTTTTTTAAGGAGCAATTGGTAAACTATATATAGGTTAATATCGTCAGATGTTGATTCAGATAAATCACTCAAATTGAAAGAATGCGGCACATCTTACAGTTAAAAATTGAAATTCCATCAATCTGAGGATAATGAAGGATAATGCAGTCTTATCATATCAAAAAGAATCGAATATCTGAAAGATCTTTTATAAATAAATGAACTTATGTGGTGAAGTAGTCGAAGAGTACATTAATTTCACAGAACATAGTAAAGGATAGAATTGCTCCCAGTTCGCTATTTGTTTTTATAAGCAGCATGAGGGTATAACAATGGGTAACCCAGTGTATCCCTTCATGGTAATCCGTTCATGAGCAGATTTGAAATGGAAGCAAGAGAAGATTTTTACCTTTCACAAACTTGGATTCGATTCGACACGAATTTATTTATTTATTTCGTATCAAAAGCACCATAACAGTATGGTACAAAAAGTGAAACAAAGATAAATATATAGATGGTAGATGCTTCTAGGTGGTAGATGCTGGTCCTACCTGGCATCACCCGGTGAGATACCATCGTAACGGCTTAAACAGCGTGAAGTTGCTTTCGTGCTAACGTTTCGTTGCTATGCCGCTGTTTCCGGTTTCAAGAGTGGGGAAGTAAGGAAAAATGCATGATGGCGCTCCTAGGGTCAAAATACTCCGGAGGTCCCGGATCTCCAGGCGGGAGCTGATTAAAGGGCATCATCCTGCAGACGTCATTCGAAAACCACTAGCCCACTAGCTTCGATAAGTTTGTTGAGGGTTGAAATGGATACCAATATGTCTTTGCGCTGGAATTGTGAGGGCTGCTTTTCGGAAGCTTGGAAAACTGTTCCAAACCAGACAACTGTACACACCTCAGCAACTATTGTTGCTTTATAAAGCTCATATAAGACCTTCTCTGGAGTATTGTTCTCACGTATGGAGCTCTACCCCCAAACATACCCTGAAGTTGCTGGATTCCATCCAGAAAAGAGTCATCCGCCTGATTGGAGACGCCAACATCACGTGCAGCCTTGATAGCCTGGAACATCGAAGGAAGGTTGGAGTTTTGTCTCTGTTCTATAGCCTCTTTCACGAGAAATATTCAAGTGACTTGGCACATTTGATTTCACCAAGAGTGGTACACATCAGAAATACGAGACGGACTGTGGCTGCTCATCATTTTGAGGTTGAACTCAGTACACCTGGAACTTCACTGTTTGAGAAATTTCATCTGGAGAACTGCGTTTATGCGGAATAAACTTCCTGAGAACGTTTTTTCAAATGAATTCAATCTCCAGTGATTCAAGTTCAATGTGAATCGCTACTTTCGCACAGGCACCCCTCTGAGAGCGCCTTAAGTATTTTCCTGTACCGTTTGTGTTTTGTCCGTAAAGAAATGATATGTATATATCAAATAAAACACTCAAGTCCACAATGACAGTAAAAAACAGCTGAATTAAATTTGAAGAATCTGCAACCTGTATGGTATTTTCTTTCCCTCCATTGTGCATGATTTCGGGATCTACTAAAACGCGGCAGGTTAATATACAGGGGGATACCTTGTACCCGGTTAAGTACCTCCACCAAATATGAGCCCCATATAAAAGGCCGCCTGTGAGGGATAAAGGATCACAAAAGTAAAAAAAAATGATCATCAAAAATTCTCGAGCGCGTCAGATTGAGGTAGGGTGAATTAATTAACTGCTGAAAAGTGTATATTCCAGTAATCTGCCAATTTGTGAGTGACGTAAAGAAAGGGGAGGGCAGCAAAGTTGTAAAAAAATAACGTCGTTTCGACATTCTCGAGCGTAGCATTTTTTTTTTTTTATTTTGAAGGAAATAATTCAAGGATAATGAAAAATATATAATCTGGCGATTTCCGCAAGCCGAAATAACAGAAATTTGTCGATAACGTTTAATGCGTGCAGATGTGTGATACCTATATTTCCCTCTCCAAGTTTCTATTCTCTATTCACATCTTTACTACTACTATTACTTTCTCACTCCATCCCCACTCTGAATTATGTTGCCATGACGCCATCACAGCTGATCATTGAGACTCGTTCGTGATGAAGACGAAGATGATGATTAATTAATCAATTAATTGATGGATGTAGCCGTTACTACGTGGTAGGAAATAATAATGAAGAAAAGAGAAATTCAACTTTCTATGTTTTTACCACTTTTATTTGTAGCTAACGTTACTACAGTTTCGTCCTATAAGGACATTTTCAAACTTATATATTGTATAAGTTTGAATATATTGTATAAGTCCTATAAGGACATTTTCAAACTTATACAATATATAAGTTTGAAAATGTCCTTATAGGACGAAACTGCAGTAACTTTAGTAACAAATAAAAGTGGTAAAAAAAAGTAATTTCTCTTTTTTCATTAATTAATCCATTGATTATAAAAAATTGAATTTTTTTGAGCATTTTTTTTTAATTATTTTCTTATGAATACAAGTATTCTACTTAAAAAACATACACTTATTTATTGGCATGCTATATCCTGAGCTTTTAAATTATTTGAATTTAATGAATTACATTTTTTTTTAATATTGTTTTTGTCATATCAAGCGAATCCCTCTAGATAATCGTCAGATTATGAGACAGCACGTCTAAAACATAAAGATGAACCATATATATCTTAATCTGACGCGCTTGAGTATTTCAAAATGGCCAATTTTTTTTTGCACATTATAATAATGGCCGCGAGTTTGCGTCAGATCGAAATCATCAGAATGAGAGCTTTTTTTGTTGCACTCAACACCCCCTTAGAAAATCTGATGTGCTCGATTAATTTTTTTTTCTTTTCACTTTCAACCCTTACGTACAACCACCCACATCATGCAAACGATCAGATTAATATACTAAAATTATTAAAAATACGTAGGACATTGATGCTATCAGTATCTGACGCTCTCGAGTATGTCCATGCAACAGTATTTTTTACATATTTAAAAATCTATAGCTGCTTCCCCCACCGATGAAAAGGTATATATTATATAACATTTTTCTCTTCTTATCATCTAAGCTTGCAACCTAATATGTCTCAATGACGCACGAGTAAATCCCCATTTTGCATCGTGGGCTCCTCTGCTATGGCATGCACCCGGCCAAATTGTCACCCGTCCTGCTAACCCCACTTCAAAGTATGTTTAGACATCTCCAGGTCATCTACTTGAGGTCTCCGCCAGAAGGAAGGGAATCTGAGGGCTACCAGAGATGTAGGTCATGAAGGCTTTCTTGCGATAGACTGATTTTCATTATGTTTGGCGAAGAATTCAGTCGGACCGTACTATTTGGGAAGGACTTCCCAAACTTTAAGCAACCTATGAGGGGCTGATACAACATGACATGAATAAGAATAAGGCCGAAATTGAAAATAACGGAGAGTTGCCATACTTGGACATTCCAGTTTGAAAAAACGCCAATGAGGGTTTATAATTTGATGTATAAAGGAAGAATACTAGCGCTTTCAGATATATCCCTGACAGTTTTCACCATTGCTTGCAACAAAAAATAATGGAACTACATTTTCTTGTCCATTGGCTGATCACGTTCCTTTTTCGCAAAAAACACTGTGATATCAAGAAAAACTTATCAGGGAGATAGCCTAAAGTAATGGATATAGTTTAAATACAGTGGATGAATTATTTGGAAAAAGGAAATATAGATGATGTCTTCGTAATTTCTCGACTTTTCAGAAAAACTAAGACTCATATGACTTAAGACTTCATATGAATCAAATATGAATGTGGCTTTTAAAACTGTTCGTACACAAGCAACATCCAATCCTCATATCTGTGAGGATTTCGATAAAAATATGTTGGTCAAACTGAGTGGACTATATAAGCTCGCTACAAGGAACATTTTTCACGTATTCGATTCAATAGACCAGAGAAGTCTAGTGTTGCTCAACATGCTATCGAAAATGGCCACAGAATAAGTGAGGAATGCTTGGAACTGTTAAGACCGGTACATGACAACACATTTTAAGATTCCTCCAAATGTTTAGAAATGTGGAATGAGTTCAGTGAAGGCTGACAACAGCTCATTGCTTTCACTCTTACGTGATTACAGGTGGAAACATACCAAGATTAGGTATCAGTCAGGTAGTAAATAATAATAGGAATAGTAACAAAATACTAGGAATTCATTTATTGACTCTTATTATGCGGGGTAATTATTCGTCTAGATACATGAAAAACATTAGCATAGTTGTATAAGAAGTTTAGTCTCAGTCAACGAGGTCCTAAGATTGGTTGGTAATGTCGACGCGCCCGTCGAATATGTCAGAACTTCGAGAACAGGGTCAGATCGTCGTAGCTTTTTTGGTGAAAAAAGTAATAATGATAAAAGTCTAAACCGTTTCTCTTTCTTCTTTCCAACTGTAAATAAGAATGGAAATTTCGTCTATTAATATTTTATCTTCGGAACATAATTGTAATTTTGGTTCATGTATCTAGCCAATTCACAAAAACGTTCTTCTATTTCATGGTGATGCAGGAATTTTTAGTTGATAGAAATAAAAACTGATCTGATTTCCAAACCACTCAAGTTCTGAAAGGTCGTTTGCGACTGTTCTTGAGGTCAATTCTCGATATGTATGCTGAACTGCGAAACATCACCATCGTATGCGTTCACAACTCTAGAATAGACACCCTTAATAGTTAATTTCATTATTAAATGTTTCGTATTTGTATTCAATACACAATATCAAACCTTTTATTTCTCCTATTCTATATACTGGAAGCCCTTTTAAAAATTGTTATTGGGTCGTCAAAGACCAGTTAAAAGTAATGAAATAAATATATAACTCAGAACTTTCAACCAAGCTGTTTTTGTGTGCTAATATAAGGCGAGAAGAGAGTCATTACTTTTTTCAGTATACTCACCTTCCATGTTGAGGCCCAACATTGTCTTTGTCAAAGGATGAACTAGCTGTTATGTCTGAGTCTCTGATTGCTCCATTTTCCATACCAAGCGGAGCTATACATTGGGCTGAAACACACGAAGTAAACAAAACATTACATTTGAATTGAATGTACAAAAACATTGTGGGTTATACGAGACTATGAGGATAGGCGATAAATGAGGAAGTTGATTGTTCATATTGAAATACGCATTTTTAGTATACGTATTTTTAGTGACCTAAATTCTCCTTCTCAGCACTACCTGATAAGGAAATCTAGAAATCTGCGTGTGTGGTAAACATTGTTGCCAATGACAACTGCACGAAATACTCCAAAAAGTTGAGACGAAATACTTGTATTTTACTCGCAAATTAATGAAAGTTACTGCAAAATCTTCGCACAGCTTACTTAGATCCAGAAACGTTAGGAAACTGTTTAAAGTGAAAAAACTGATGAAAATAATAATGATATCAGATGTCGTTGACTTTTGAGTTTGAAGTGTCTACATAACAGAATGATACTGGATGTAGCCTGTAAAGTCGTTAGCAGTTCGGATCCCCTTCTCTACATGGTTTGCGACCTTGAGAGAGCAGAAATTGAGGCATTTCTCCAAAGGGCAACGAGGTGATTACAACTTGGTCACCGAGTGGGAACCTGTTCAACAAAAGACCCATACAAGAGCCGCAGAGATTACTTTACTCCTGCGGCATCACAGAGATGAACCACTGCATGGGGTCTTCTTCAACAACATTGAAAACCTTTGCTCATCAAAGCACTTGATCTTCGTTTTCCCCAAGTCGAGTGGGCTGGTATTGCACTACGATCCGGGGGATATTGAATCCATCGTTGGGAACGAGAAGTGCCAAATTTATTGGAACTATTCTAAACTAAGCCTGACATAGTTTTTCTCAACCATCAGTGCAAGACGATATTTGTCGTGGAGTTTTCCTGGCGAGATGAATATCGTCTGAAAAAAGAAGGAAAAACTTATAAAATATTGAGATGTTCTCATCGAACTCTATACACCACTCTGTCAAGATGGTTGTTCTGATTATTGGAGTCTTTGGAGGACTCTGGCATATCAAGATCATGCTGGCTTGCTGCACTCAAGCAGAAATCTTAGCTAAGCAAATGCAGAAGGCTCTCATTCTTGGCTTACTGCGCTAACTCAGGGCGAATGAATTTTGGTCATTGGTTTATAATGCGGCCGCTTCCTCTCAGGGGCTTTGGGGGACAGGGCCCGATCAGCGCAACCTTAGGTTGAAAACAATAATAATAATAATTATTTATAATAATAATAATATGTTTATTGAGTTGAGTTGGTACCTTAGGGATTCAATGTTACTCTGCACGCGTTTCGCTTGTTAGTATTCACAATCGTATTCAGGTGACACCTGTTATAACTCGAAGGCTCGATTCAATTTTTTTTATTTCGAACGAAAGTAATTTCTTCTGAAGAAAAATCAGTATATCACGTGTAGTATTTTATTAGTTCGAACTTCCATTGTCTGATACGATATAAATTGATTTGAAATCCCTGAAAGATGAAGGACTGCCAATGGGATCGCTTCTTTCACCGGTTATAACAAACATACATATGGAGTGGTTTGAAACTCTGGCTATTGAAGAAGCCCACAAGAAGCCCCGAATCTGGTTGAGATACGTGGACGACACCTTCATGATATGGAACCATGGGAATGCAGAACTAAACACCTTCTTGAAGCACATCAACAACGTGAGTCCTTCCATCACTTTCACAATGGAGAAGAAATTTCACAACGAATTGCCAATCTTAGACGTATTGGTGAAGAGGACCGTCACTAAACGGGAAATATCTGTATACCGAAAATCCACTCACACGGAACAGAATCTGAACCACGAAGCCAACCACCATCAATCAACTAAGAGAGGAATCATCAAGGCTCTATTAGACTATGTTTTCGGGCTTTGTAATACAAAGGAAGGTCTCGAGAAGGAACTAGACATCATAAAGAATGATCTGCAACGGAATAGCTGATCCAAAGCGATGGTGGAACAGACTTCGGCTAAAATACAGCAGGAGCCTCGCAAGGAAGAGAAGCCATCACAGCCAGTGCTTGCACTTCCCTACATCAGAGGATTATCAGAAAGGATGAGAAGAATTGGGTTCAAGTATAACATCAGAACCTACTTCAGATCTGGGAACACTATCCATAGCAGCCTCACAAAAACCAGGCCACCAAACGCGGACTGCGATTCCAAGAATTGCATTTACCGGATACCCTGCGAGTGCGGACAATCATACATCGGAGAAACTAGGAGGCCATTGAATGTTAGCATTGCCAAGCATAAGAAACACACACAGCGAGGAGAAACCAGCAAATCAGGAATAGCAGAGCATGTTTGGACTCATCAACATAACACCAAGTGGGCTCAAGCTGAAATCATCCACAAGGAGGAAACCTCGTTTAGGAGAAAATTCAAAGAAGCCGCATATATGTTGTCCAATAACGCATTTAGCCAAGCTATCGTAGAGATACGCAACATATGGAAACCTCTAATCAAGCGGAACACGACCGACCAACTTCCGGCAAACGGTCAACTCCTGCTAAAACCGATGAAGCGGGGAAAAGGAAGAGGGGATAGGTGAAAGCATTCGAACGACCTATATATAGTCAGATCTCAGAGGTATGAGTCTAGTTATCACCCAAAGACGATAGTGGATACTAATAATCGAAACGTTGTGAAATAACTTGGCTTGGAATCTTTCAATATTTGATTTTCATTCCTTGTAAAGAATTTTTTTTATTTTTTTTTATTTTCACCTCGTGTTAATAGTTCAATATTTTGATTTCTTGGTTGTTGTTTGTATTTTATTTCATTGTAATTTCAGTTTCAGGGAACAAATTTTAGTTCACCTCGATAAGTTACCGAGTGAATTCAAAGTATTTTTCACAAAGAAAAAGATTAATCGATAACTTGTCGTGTCCAATGATTGTGCCAATCAAAAAAAGAACTACGAAATTATACAATCTAAATCGCAGTGTTTTCTTCATTAGTTCACTTTATTTCTCAACATCTTCGACATTATTAATTTTTTTTTTAACTAAGTCATCCGAATATTTCCGGAAGTTTTTAGTACTTTCAATAACTTCAACATTTCATTCGTTTTCATTCTATTTTATTCTTCCACTGATTTCAGGTAACACCACTCTCAGACAATGAAAGTCCGAATTTGTAACATTGTCAACCACTTTCAAACAAACATTGAGGCGTTTTAGTTATATTTACACAAGTTTTGATTTTGAATAGGTGAAAATGTATGCATTAGTTCCATTCAATTGCAAAAAAATCAATCACAGTGTAATTATACAATCAATCACATTTCACTTCAACGCAGATATTCGTTTCAAAATTGAATAACTGCGAATTACCATTCATTTCATTTTCGAAGTGGTTGTTTATGGAATATGGTTTTAGTGTCAATGAAGTTCGGGAGTTGATTCAAACTCCATTTACAGGACACTTTATAAAACAACCAGAACAGAGGGAATAACTATATACCATTCATTTAACTGTGAATTGGATAACAAAATAATAGGGGATAATGCAAAACAAAACTGATAAATTGTCGTTTCACAACATTGGCAAAATGAAAAGGTAAACTATTCGAAAAATTGTTACGCTTGAAAGTACCAGACTGACAGAATGTGATTGATTCTCCTGTGCATAAAAATTTCCGAATAAAATACAGTCATACAAAAATATAAATAAATAGCATAATACCGATAATAATACTACTTCATCTAACTTTATTCATCAAAATAATTGGACTAGCCCTTATGTTCTTGTGGAGAACAAAAACAAAAACTAATTCCGAGGCTGGAAAGAAGTGCTCATCTCAATATAAGGCGGTAGCTGGGGATGAACAGAAATGTCTACCCCAATCTACCGCTTGGAATGAGGCTGGATATAGCAAATCACCTCGTGATGTTTGTATTACAACGCCAAGGCGTAAGCGGATTTGCGGCGCCGAGGCCAAAAGGAAAAAGAGAGCGAAAGAGGCAGAAGTGGCAGCAACTATAAGTACACCCTCCTCCTCCTCCACTCTACCTCCAACAGTAAGGTCACTCCCTGCCGCGGGCGCCAAGAGCTCCGCCTTGAATAAAGGCAAGGAACCGGTTTCCCCTGCAGGAAAGCTCCCTTACTTGGGCACCTCCACGAAGGAAACCCCAAGAAGGTTGAAGAAGCCGCGCAACGACAGTAATGTCACTGCACCTTCCAAAACCTTCGCAGAGGCCACCGTGAGCCACCTCAAGGTTGCCAAAGAGAGTGTGTGTTCGGTGAGTCTTGGCCTACAGCTGTCAATACAAAGGATATTCTCCTAGTGACCTGTCCACCTTCCTGGAAAGGACAGGATGGACAATGACATAGGAGGACAACTCCTCGGGAGGATGTACGATGGGTTACATCTTGTCTAAGTGCTGTGGGTCCACACTCACCCTCTCTACTCTACAGATACAGAGATGTACTTGTGGTGCACTGTTTGGAACCTTTGATGTAGTAATGAATATTACTGGAGTTCTATCCCAACACCAAACCGTTATTTTTAACACCTCAACACGTGTTTCAGTCACCAAGTGATCATCTTCGAGAGAAAGATTAAACTGGAACAAATTTAGAAAAAACTAAATATCTCTCACAGCTATTTAGAAACCAAATATCTGCTTGTGTTAGCCTAAATTTTGTTGAGTACTTACGTACAGATTCAGTTCCGTTGACCTGGACGTCATTATGTACCTACTTATTATGCACTGTTTGGAACATTTAGTGCAGCAATAAATATTACTGGAATTGTCACCCAATACCAAACCGTTATTTTCAACACCTCGACACTTGTTTTAATCCCCATGTGACCATCTTCAGGAGGAAGATTAAACTAGCCATCATAATTGAGGGTCTTGACCCCGTTTTACGAGTACTAGATTCGGAACTGTGGATTATGCAAGTATTGAATACTTCTTGGTTACTATAACTTCTTACTATTTCTGTCAGATCTTCGTTCAAAAAAATTGAAAAATTTTGATTTTTTTTCAAGAATGAGAGATA